CCTGGAGAGAAATATTAGCTGTGCTGCTGCCATCAACACCTGGAGAGGGATTGCTGAAGAGTCAATTAGTCGATGCAATCAGCTGGTTTTCCTTAGATAGAAAACTTTGAATCAATCTGACTGGATGATCTGGTGAACTGGAAAGTGACCTGAGATGACATGATGTGAATTGGTGCTATAGAAATAAACTGAATAGAATTAAAATGATAGAATAAAGGAGCAGATAAAAGAAAAAAAATAAAGTGAGGCTCTTCATACAGACCTGATGAAAAGCAGGTTTTTGTGATGGGAATAAACAAGAGAAGGTTAAGTTAATCACTCAACTAAAATGTAAACTAAGGTTAGAAACACAAAACCATGAATAAAGGTAGGATAAGGAATCAAGCTTAATGCTTTCCATAAATTCTTTCTTTTTTCTCCCTCACTTTTGATCACTGCTGCACTTTGAGAAAATGGAAATGTTCATTTACTGTCTGAAAGCTGTTCTAAACGAAACAACATTTAAAGAGGTCTAAGTCAAAGTCAGTATTTTGGTCTTCTTTAGCCCTCTTCCGGTGACCACCTAGATATTCTGTCAGATCTAGATCTGGATAGAGACAGAATCAGGCTGAGGACATTTTCGACTGATATTAGCATGATTTGGTATCAGTCGTTGATACCAGTTGTTTTGTTTGAATTGATCTGGCCGAGAGAATAATGCAGTTGGGGCGGTTCTACTGATGGTAAAATAATAGAAATTTAAAAATCTATATTAGTTGATCTTTTGTTCTGGATTCAGGCCAGACTTTCTCAAATCTTTATACCAAATATTTATTTGGACTTTTCATCCGGTAACATAGAACTGTAGCCTAAAGACCAAGTTCAGCTTCTTCAGGTCGTTTCCACTTTTCTCTCACAAGAGAAGCAAAGATGTTTTATTCAGAGAAAAACTAAACGTTTTGTCAAACAAACCAACTTAATTCAGAAATATGTAGAAAACCAGAGATTATTGCAGTCCACTGGATCTCCCCAAAAGAGCAGCTTCTTCTGCTTTTCATCTCTTTTATTCAAGTTGGGACAAATGTGCAGTTTTTGAAACGCTGTTATTGTTCTCGGCTGGCTGCCTTCACTGGGTCATGGTTTGCATGAACAATGAGATCTTTTAGATCAACATCTCTGCAAACTATGGCCTTGACTAAACGATGCAAATGTTAGGAAAATCCCAACCGGTCCTTAAACTTCAAGTGTTATTAGATTCCCCACAGTGTATGTCAGGGTTTTTTACCTACACCATTAAAAATGGAGACATCCTCAGAAGTAATTTGGAAAATGGAGCCCAGGCGGACGTTCAACTGAAGAAACTGGTTGCTCTCCTACATCTACCTACGACACAGCCAATCAGCTTTGAACCACACCTTCACGAAAGCCAATCAGCATCCAAAGTTAATATAAAAAAGCCTCCGATACGCAACTCGTCATCTCCTAGTGTGCAGGCGGTGGATGCGCTGTGACTTCATGCAGATGACCCTGTTTCAACCCCCCTCCACCATCGTAGCTAAAGCTTCATCAGAGTTTCATTCCTCCTGGACTCTCACTGTGTTCACTGTCTCATCTCAGTCGGTCTGGCAGAAGACCGCCATGTTTAGCCTGGTTCTGGCAGAGGTTTTTCCTCTCCACTCTCGCTTCATGCTTGCTCCTCATAGACAGGTTCTCTCATCCTGTGTTATCCAAGCTGGACTTCCATCTTCCAGGTCCCTGAGTGAAGCTCTAGTATCAGCTCACGCAGTCCACTGGATCTCCCCATAAAGCTCAGCAGACCGTCTCGGTAATCAGCAGTTTTCAGACTGACTAACTCCATTTATCTCCACTCCACCTCCAGTATCT